ATGTAAACTGATTTGCAGGTTCAAGCATGGTGAAACGCACGTGAGAATCTTTTCTTCAAAAAAAAACAACAACAACAAAAGAGGAAAAACAAAAGGAAAAAGAAACAGAGGGATGAGCATTTCAAAAAGGTTAAGCTCAAGGTCGGCAAGAAGCTACCCAAAGGGGCTAATGAGATGCAGACGTCTTTCAAATCGCAAGGGATCGTTATTCCATCACAAGACCTGACCAAGGAAGGCCAGCTTACTAACACTAGAAAACAGGGTCTGAAGGTAAGAATATCGTATGAATTTAAATTGATTATTCTATATCTTGAGTGCTCTATAAGTTTGTTTTTGCGGCAGCCACGTTTTAGCTGAGCAAAACACTACTGTTTGCGTTTGGACCCCCCCCTCTCCCCACTCAATTCAATTGCTTACTATCAATCACGTGACTTTTTTGGAGTTGACTGGGGGGCAAACAAGCGGTTGACTGGGGGGCAACTAGCAGATGCTAAGTCAAAACATGTAAAAATAAGTCCTCAAACTATTGTATTTGACTATTTTCACGATATCAAACCAGAAAACAAGAGATCAAAACAACCTCCAGGATTCTACAAGCCATCAAAAAAGATTACAGGCTGTATATATGCAATCAAAACAAACACTAAACAAAGCTTCTCTAGAAAGAATCAACCACTTTAGTTTTTAAAGAAATCTATGCTCTTTAGTATCCAAACGTCTTAAAATCATGAACTGGCTTAATTGCTTAGGGGGAATCGTATTTTTTGCATGACTTTAAGGTGGCTCGACTGGGTTTTGTTTGTGGCGTACCTTCTAAGTTTGAAGGGGAAATGCGTCGCTGCCAATAAATTAATTTCAAATAAATTATTATGACATGTCTAGAGATAGATTCAAGTTTTAAATTGTTTAACAGAACTTAAAGTTCATATGTTTGTCTTCAAGTTAACAAAGTTTCGAAGATTTGTATGGAAGCGCTTCGAAATAATTGCCGTCGGAACTTTTGGGCAACAGAAATGTAAACAATCCAAAGCAATTAGTTCATGTGACCGAAACCTTTTCTTACTGGACTTGGGAAAAGCTTTTTTTGGGGTCATAGTGTTGTGTTACTATTCCAATAGTCCTTCTGAGAAATGGAAAGAAATCGCGTTATTCGATTTCGAGAAATATGATTTCAAGCCT